GGAGACAACTGGAGTGAAGACGAAGAGAAAATGGTCGGAGTAGGCAGGGGCACCGAATAAATAATGGGCTTCTACTAACATCTGAGAAAAACCTATACGTAGAAGGAATAGAAGGAACATGGTCATGAAACCGGACAAAGAAATGAAGGCAATAAGCATCACAATGATCAGCCAAGGAAGAAACATTCACCTCAGCATAGAGGCTTTCAACAGGGGATGAACAAAAGGCACCAAGGCATAAATGTAGACCCTGATGATGAAGGGGATCTAACTTAGAAAGAGTTGTAGAAGCTGCAGAATAGATTTGGTAGCCATAATCCAGCTTGGACAAGACTAAGGTGGAAAGCAAATGGAGGAGAGTCCGGCAATCTGCTCCCCATAACGATGCGCAAGAATTTTAAGGAGATTCAGCCGACCATAGCAATCTGCCTTCAAAGAGGAAATGTGAGGTTTTGATGTCAACTAGTGATCGAAGAGAAGGCCAAGAAACTTGACCGTATCACATACTAGAATACGTGAGCTGTTTAAATACAATGGAATATCTGGGACAAGAGGACGTCTAGTGAAGGTAATGAAATGGGTTTTGGTACTAGACAATTTAACCCTTAAATGGTCCAAACGTATATATACGTTCTCTCGCATAGCGCCCCAAACGTATATATACGTTTTATTTTTCATTCCTTCAAAATTGGCGCGATAGGCCTGAGTCGCCTAGACATGAGAGAATGGGTATGCACACTCAGTGTGCACGGTATACAAAAAATCTGGGACACCTGGGTACCACATGGTAGGACCAGTTATATTCAGCTCCATCCTGGGTCAACATCATGGCACATCCTCGTGATTCACTCACGCCTCGTCGTATTAACACACTACTATTCGAGGAAAGTGATATAGATTGTGAGTTTAGTGGATATGACACCAATGGGGCCAGTAATATTCAAGGAATTAGTGAAAATGTCGACGATAACCCAGATGATCCTCAGCCCATCACCTCTGGGGTAGCCAGTGTGGCCACACAAGACCCTGGGCCAAGTACCTCTGGAGTGGCAAGTGTTACCCATAGGCAACTTCGCAAGAGGAAACTATCATTTTCCCAGTGTTTTAGTGATAGTGAAAGTGATGTAAGTGATGATGAGATTGATTTTATGCCAATCGAGGATTCGTCTAACGATAGTGAAGTTCATTATTCACCAGTGAAGTGCACTTTTAGGCATCGTTATCTATGTTCAGGCAGTGTGCCATATGCAATCCCCAAGGGTCGTGGCAGGTCACGATCGAAAACCCCGGCCAGTGATAGTGAAAGTGATCATGAGGGCGAGTATGCGGGGATGGAGGATGTAGTGGTGCGTGGCACGGTGCCTGGACCACATGGTGTGGTGGGTGGACAGACAAAGGACTGCCCGGCATCCCCTCAACCATGTGCTACCTCCACTCCTGTCCCTCCTCCTGCTCCCCCTTGCCCCATGCCACAGGTCCACCCTGCACCACATGATCGTGAGTGGAGCTGGACACAAATTATATTCGTGCCACAGCCTTGTGATTTTGATGCGAGTCGAAGTGGTTTCCAGCCAGAATGTCCCAAAACAAATGAGTCTACAGAGTTAGACTATTTCCAGTTGTACTTTGACAAGCCCATAATGAACTTGATAGTGACCCAGACAAACAATTACTGATATGTCATGGACAACATAACAGAGGTTGGAGAATCGTCATGGCTGCACAGGTGGAAGGACAACAGTGGCTGAAATGTATTTATTCTTTGCCACTGTCATGCTTATGCCACATATCTATAAGAACAACATACATAATTACTGGTCTACAGACCACTTCATCAGTACTCCAGTTTTCCGTGACCTCCTTCCCTGCAACAGATTCACTCTGTTGCTACGAATATTGCACTTCTCAGACAGAAATACGCCAAACAGAAATGACCTTCTATACAAAATCCGGGAAGTGTTTATGTATTTGAAGCAGAAATTCAGTGCATACTTTTATCCCTTCAAGAACATTGTTGTTGATGAGTCCTTGATTCTGTTCAAGGGACGCTTGTCATTCAAGCAATATATACCGAGCAAACGTAATCGCTTTGGTATAAAACTTTTTGTTATGTGTGACTGGGGAAAGGTGGTCTTGTGTTGGATGTTATTGTACACACCAGGGGGAAACACATCGATGATGACAGAACAAAATTTTTGGGCATTTCCGGTGATGTTGTTCGCAGGATGATTAGAACCATACCTTTGGCAAGGGCCATACATTGTACCAGACAACTGGTATACAAGCCCTATGCTCGTGATTTCCTACGTGTGAACAATACTGATATATGTGGAACAGTGAGACGAAATAGAAAACATATGCCAAGGTTTAGTGGAGGCAGTGTTGAAGGTGCAGTGCAAATGTTTCATGCTAATGGCATCATGGCACTGACGTGGCATGACAAACGGGACATAACATTGCTGTCAACCATCCACAGAAACGAGATGGTACAGACAGACAGACTGAGCAAGTTCAACAAAGAACCTATTGTAAAGCCAGCTGCTGTCGTGGACTATACGAACAATATGTGACTGGTTGACAAGTGTGACATGATGATAGGATTTGTTGGCTGTGCGTAGGAGTCGCAAGTGGTATATAAAACTGTTTTTTCACCTTGTAGACATTGCAGTGCTCAATGCATTCAAAATGTACGAAATAAAGACTGGAAAACGACAACATTTTGCAGAACTCTCTCTGAATGTTGTCAAACAGATAGCAAGAAAGTATGGTACCACACCTGTACCTGCCCCTCAACAGTGACCTGTCACACCACAAACTGTCCCCCAACCACAGCCAGAGGGGGAAGTGCCATACCGAATCACTCCTAACTGTCACTATCTGGTACCAACACTACCTACCCAAAAGAAGAAGAATGCCCAGAAAAAATGTGTTGTGTGTGCTACCACCAAAAAACGACCCCAGCAGCAGAAAGAAACACGATTCATTTGTCACCAGTGTTGGGTGGCACTCTGTATGAATCCATGCTTCTTGGAGTATCATACAGTCGTGGAGTTCTAGAAACATAAGTAGGACATGTAAATACTTGTATATAGTTGTAGATAATAGAATGTGATTCAGCCAGATGTGCAAAATCACCTGTCAGTGTGTACATGTGTGTTTATGACAATATGATAATAATTTTGTATATAATATTGGTGTACAGACAACAACTGGCATTGAAATCAAAAGATTTGCCATAAAACAAAAAATGGAAGAAAACAGCAAATATGTAGAATTTCTGCAAGTGGCAGTGCTCCATGTTGCCGTCAGGTGATCGCCAAGTGCCAACTTCACCGCCTCATATCTCGGTAAGTTTTTTTTTTTTTTTTTTTTTTTTCAACAAGTCGGCCGTCTCCCACCGGGGCAGGGTGACCCAAAAAAGAAAGAAAATCCCCAAAAAGAAAATACTTTCATCATCATTCAACACTTTCACCACACTCGCACATTATCACTGTTTTTGCAGAGGTGCTCAGAATGCAACAGTCTAGAAGCATACACATATAAAGATACACAACATATCCCTCCAAACTGCCAATATCCCAAACCCCTCCTTTAAAGTGCAGGCATTGTACTTCCCATTTCCAGGACTCAAGTCCGACTATATGAAAATAACCGGTTTCCCTGAATCCCTTCACTAAATATTACCCTGCTCACACTCCAACAGATCGTCAGGTCCCAAGTACCATTCGTCTCCATTCACTCCTATCTAACACGCTCACGCACGCTTGCTGGAAGTCCAAGCCCCTTGCCCACAAAACCTCCTTTACCCCCTCTCTCCAACCCTTTCGAGGACGACCCCTACCCCGCCTTCCTTCCCCTATAGATTTATATGCTTTCCATGTCATTCTACTTTGATCCATTCTCTCTAATGACCAAACCACCTCAACAACCCCTCTTCTGCCCTCTGACTAATGCTTTTATTAACTCCACACCTTCTCCTAATTTCCACACTCCGAATTTTCTGCATAATATTTACACCACACATTGCCCTTAAACAGGACATCTCCACTGCCTCCAACCGTCTCCTCGCTGCTGCATTTACCACCCAAGCTTCACACCCATATAAGAGTGTTGGTACTACTATACTTTCATACATTCCCTTCTTTGCCTCCATAGATAACGTTTTTTGACTCCACATATACCTCAATGCACCACTCACCTTTTTTCCCTCATCAATTCTATGATTAACCTCATCCTTCATAAATCCATCCGCCGACACGTCAACTCCCAAGTATCTGAAAACATTCACTTCTTCCATACTCCTCCTCCCCAATTTGATATCCAATTTTTCTTTATCTAAATCATTTGACACCCTCATCACCTTACTCTTTTCTATGTTCACTTTCAACTTTCTACCTTTACACACATTCCCAAACTCATCCACTAACCTTTGCAATTTTTCTTTAGAATCTCCCATAAGCACAGTATCATCAGCAAAAAGTAACTGTGTCAATTCCCATTTTGAATTTGATTCCCCAAAATTTAATCCCACCCCTCTCCCGAACACCCTAGCATTTACTTCCTTTACAACCCCATCTATAAATATATTAAACAACCATGGTGACATTACACATCCCTGTCTAAGACCTACTTTTACCGGGAAGTAGTCTCCCTCTCTTCTACACACCCTAACCTGAGCCTCACTATCCTCATAAAAACTCTTTACAGCATTTAATAACTTACCACCTATTCCATATACTTGCAACATCTGCCACATTGCTCCTCTATCCACTCTATCATATGCCTTTTCTAAATCCATAAATGCAATAAAAACTTCCCTATCTTTATCTAAATACTGTTCACATATATGCTTCAATGTAAACACCTGATCTACACATCCCCTACCCACTCTGAAACCTCCTTGCTCATCCGCAATCCTACATTCTGTCTTACCTCTAATTCTTTCAATTATAACCCTACCGTACACTTTTCCTGGTATAGTCAGTAAGCTTATTCCTCTATAATTTTACAGTCTCTTTTGTCCCCTTTCCCTTTATATAAAGGGACTATACATGCTCTTCCGCCAATCCCTAGGTACCTTCCCCTCTTTCATACATTTATTAAACAAAAGTACCAACCACTCCAACACTATATCCCCCCCTGCTTTTAACATTTCTGTCATGATCCCATCAGTTCCAGCTGCTTTACCCCCTTTCATTTTACGTAATGCCTCACGTACCTCCCCCACACTTACATTCTGCTCTTCTTCACTCCTAAAAGATGGTATACCTCCCTGACCAGTGCATGAAATTACTGCCTCTGTTTCTTCCTTAACATTTAAAAGTTCCTCAAAATATTCTCGCCATCTACCCAATACCTCCATCTCCCCATCTACTAACTCCCCTACTCTGTTTTTAACTGACAAATCCATATTTTCCCTAGGCTTTCTTAACTTGTTTAACTCACTCCAAAATTTTTTCTTATTTTCATTAAAATTTCTTGACAGTGCCTCTCCCACTCTATCATCTGCTCTCCTTTTGCACTTTCTCACCACTCTCTTTACCTTTCTTTTACTCTCCATATACTCTGCTCTTCTTATAACACTTCTGCTTTGTAAAAACCTCTCATAAGCTACCTTTTTCTCTTTTATCACACCCTTTACTTCATCATTCCACCAATCACTCCTCTTTCCTCCTGCCCCCACCCCCCTATAACCACAAACATATATACGTTTGGACCGTTTAAGGGTTAAATTCATGAGAAGTAGCCCAATTGGAAACTTGATCAATTGCATCTTGAAGGGAGGCCGCTACCAGGTGACATTCAGCGCCTGCATAAGCTATAGCGAAGTCATCCACGTAAAGTGACAACCAAATATGCGATACATATCCCTACTCACCACAGTGTCCAACAAGATAAGGCACCATACACATTAAACCCAGGGTTAATGGTAAGGAATATATGAGTGGGCAGCTTGGTGGTAGCCAAAGGATCCAAAAGATACCTACCCTCTGTTGCCTCACTTGGTCCTCACTAAATACACAATCCTACAACAGTTTGTTGTCAGGCTGAGCATTACGTCACCCGTCCATCACTATCTGAATGCACAGTTCACAGAAGCCTGCTATATAGCAAAGTGGATCATTACCAAAAAACAGCAACGCTCTTCTTGCCGAATAAGGCAAGCGAAAATTCGTGCATGCAATAATTTTACAAAAATCATTCTGAACCTAAAAAGAAAAAAATGTATTTGCCATAAATCCAAGCAGCAAAAACCTGAGATTAGCACAAAGCCCACTACCAGACAGAAGAGGAGCAATGCTAGACCAACTTACCAAAACTAGCCGACCAAGACAACAGGGCCTAAACTGAACCACCCATTACACTTCTATACACTTATTAAAGTGTGTTGCTCACCCAAGGGCTGCAGGTTCAAAAATCAGGCTCAATTTACAGACAAACTTATACAAAGAAAAGGAATTGTTGTCAGGGAAATCCTTGTATAGACAAGAGGAAATGCTGTATTATATACAGTTTAACTATACATCAATGCAATCATTATTTTCAAAATTTCTATGCTAGTACATTGATATTTCATACCACTAATTCTCCAGTGTCACTTCCATTACTGTCCTTGCCTTCTAGCTGAAAGTCAGTACAAAGGCTTCCTTGTCCTCTCTTTGTCTCATTCTTGTCTGAATTCTCATTTTGTACATAATTTTTATCTTTTATCTGTTCATCAGACTTTCCTAAAATGGTATCACTGGTGCTACCTTCTCCAATTATGACTCTTGGGTTAGACATGACAGAGTCTGGATTCACAGTCCCTAAGCTACTTATATCACAATCATCCTCTTCAGGATAATTCATTATTCTCTTTTTAGCTCCAACTCTCTCCTCTAACTCCCAACACATATTCTCATCTTGGATGAAAGTATCAACTCCTTTATCTATAGTTCTCTTTTCTGGTTTCTCATCAAACCCTTTAGGTATCTCTTCACTGTCACCCATACCCAGTCCACTTGCTGATAGCAAAGGAGATTTAACTTCCAAGGAAGCCTCTACCTGATTCCCTATTTCCATATTTGATGAAGTTTCAGCACATGACATCTTGGGTGGTATGTTGTCTTTACACAGTAATGTTTCTGATGGGAAATGAGGCTTTTCTGTAACTTGAGTCCTTCTCGCAGCTCGAATATTACGCCAAGTAGCAGAACGATTCAATCTCATGGCAGAAGCAGAGAGATAACGTTCTAAAGTTGAAGGAACCCTACGCTGATCAAAGTCTTGATCTATCCTATGCACTACTTGTTGCCTGGAATAGAAACAATGGGCAAATTTAAGTATTTACCTTGCAAAGTTGATACAAGATCATTTTTTAGTCATAATTTAAAGGATTCTTCAAAACTACTGAAGATATGTTATACATCATGATTCTTATAATTTGTTTGAATATGATTCACTCTTAATGATTAAAAAAAATAGGTTGAAAAATAGTACTCCATTTAAATTATGTAAATAATTACATATGTTACTGTTAGTCAGAATGAATATCCTACAACACTAATATTTAGCTATATAAAAAATATAAAGTATCCTGAATAATTATTATAAATACAGTGGAACCTTGGTACTCAAAAAGCTCTGTATTCGAACAATTCAGTATTCAAACGCTTTGTTCAATAAACAAATAGCTCGGTAGTCAACCATTTGCTCGGCACTAGACCAAACAAACACGACCTGTTAGAACTTCAGTGTAAACTATTTCGTGTTTCTTCGCATTTTTTGGTGTTTTTTTTTTTTTATATTATTTGTATAAATAAGTTATGGGGCATAAGAAGGTTAGTGATAACAGCCAACCAAAAAGAAATTGGTTGGGAAAAATTCATTCATTCTGTACTCAAACAGCCTTCTGGAAACAATTAAATTTGAGTGCTGAGGTTCCACTGTATTATTAAGATTTTACTCGTTACTTTTTTATTAAGGGCCATGTCTGGTAATATTACTTTACAATTTAGAATAACATCCATTATTTTTATAAACAAAAAAAAATTCTATTAAACGTAAATTAAAATTTATGACATTCCTTCCTTCCTTGGAAGGTGAGGCAATATACAGTACATGTTGAATAGATGGTTCCAGGAAACATCACCCTGCAGCCAATCTTAAACCACACTTCATGGCTGATACTTCAGTCAAGCTGTTGGTGTTTGCTCATGCAGTCAGATGTAGGTACCACAGCCTGGCTGATCAACAGTGCTGATAGTGTTGAGATTTAAAAAATAAAGTATTAACTTTAATTTTCTGAAATGGTAAAGAAACTTTTGTCTGAATGTAATGACACCCGAAATGCAAAATTTGATGGAAAACTTGCAGTATTACACAGGTGTGACAGTTGGTACTCTGTGAGCATTTCACACAACACTTATTTCGTCAAAACTAAGCATGTCCCAAGGTATAAGTACTGGTGGGTGTCAAATAAGTTGGGTGGTATTGGCATAGGCCTAGAATTTAGTATCTGTATCAGCAAAACTTTTGGCATTTTCATATTGCAAAAAGAAACCACAGGTAAGTGATTGAATGAGTGAACAAAAGAGCATATATATATATACAGTATGTATAATGTATACAGAGGGCTAGTAACCCCTTTTGTATTCAATTACTACTAAACAGAAAGCAGGAATGAAGAGAATGTAGATGGTCTAGCACTAAGTGTATACAGCCTCTCCTTATTTAGTGACATACTCGTTTACTAATGCCTCAGACTTACGACGGGCTCTCTGACCAGTATGCATACCTATACAGTGGAACCTCTACTTGCAAGCACATCCTCATGCGAGTTTTTCCAAATATGAGCAGTCGATGGGTCGATTTTTTGCTTCCATATGCGAGCAGACATCAAGGCAGGTTCCTTGATGCTGGTGAGGGGCTCTTGCTCTTGATCTAGGGAATTGTATCTCATTTGTTTGTTGGACTATCTTATTGAAACTTGGGCAATGTGTGATGGAAAAATGCTTCTTAATGTACACCAAAAATGAGAGAAATCTATGCATAAATAATGGAGTTCACTTCTGAGCAATTAGCCACCCCTTAGCGGTATTTTCGTATGGTTTTTATGGTTGTATTCTCGGTTTTTTGGTCTCATCTGATAGAATGGAAGATATATTACAGAAATAGACATGATTTTGATTGCTTTCATGATGAAAAGTACCTTGAAATTGAGCTCAATGTAGGAGAAATGTTCGATTGTTTTGGCTATGTTCAAGAGTAAACATATGTCTGTTCCAACTGTATTCCAATATGCAGTCATGAATGGGTTAAGTAAGTAAGTTTATTCAGGTATACACAAATACAGTTACATAGATTGCCATACATAGCAGCATATGTGTAGAGAACCTAGGATAACCCAAAAAAGATAAAGTGACTTATTTCTATTGATATTATTTATACAATTATTACAATAAGGCATAACAGTAAATCTTATATTTTCTTGTGTGAATAAAAATTACAAATTACAATGTATTTATATTGTAATAATAATAATATGTAATAATAATAATAATAATAATAATAATAATAATAATAATAATAATAATAATATGACATATTTTATTCATTCTAGAGTATATGTTGGACTATCTTATTGAAACTTGGGCAATGTATGATGGAAAGATGCTTCTTAACATACACCAAAAATGAAAGAAATCGGACCATAAATAACGGAGTTCACTTCCTGCCATTAGCCACCACTTAGCGGTATATTTTCGTATGTTTTTTATGGTTGTATTCTCGTTTTTTTTTTTTTGTCTCATTTGATAGAATGGAAGATATGCAACAGAAATAGATATGATTTTGATTGTATAATGTATGTCCAACTGGCCAGTCTAATAATGGGTTGACATTACAGTGGTCCCTCATTTATCGTATTTAATCCGTTCCTGGAGGAGCTACTATTATTGAAATCTACGATTTTCGAATGAATTTTCCCCATAAGAAATAGTGCAAATACAATTAATCCGTGTCTGACACCCAGAAGTATTAAAACAAAAAATTTTTTACATGAAATATAGATGTAGTACATAAACAATACAGTGGCACATGATGAATGAAACATTAACAGCATAACACTTACCTTTATTGGCGATTCTTCTTAGTGTATGGAAGACTGGAGGAGGAGAGAGATTGGATTATTTACGGTTTGGAAGGGGAATCCCCTTCCATCAACACCTCAGGTACCAATTGCTTTTCTGGGGTTACTTCTCTTCTCTGTTTCTTAATGCCACTAGGACCAGCTTGAAAGGCACTGGAGTCCTGTCTCGCAAAATAACTGTGGAGAGAGCTCTGTTTCTGGCGTCTCTAACACTTCCCTAAAATGGCCCAAGACTTTGTCACTGTACATGTTGCCAACATGGCTTGCAACAGCCTTGTCAGGGTGATGTTTCTCTATAAATCTTTCCATCTTACCCCACATTGCAAAAATCTCCTTAATTTCTGAAGAAGGCACCTTCTGCCATCTCTCTTCCTCCTCCTCTGCAGCAAGATGCTGAGCTGTGATCTGTTGCTCTTCCTGCTGAAGCTCTTGCAGCTCCTCAGTGGTGAGCTCTTCATTGTGGTCTTCCACCAACTCTTCCACATCCTCCAAACTCACATCCAACCCCATGAAACTCCCCAGTGCCACAATAGATTTAACAACAGACACAGGCTCATCAGGGTTAGCCCCAAACCCTTCAAAATCCCTCTTGTCGACACAATCTGGCCACAATTTTCTCCAAGCAGAGTTCAAAGTCCTGGTAGTCACTCCCTCCCAAGCCGTACCTATAAGGGTTATGCAATGGAGGATGCTGAAGTGTTCTCTCCAAAAATCTCTTAGGGTCATGTGAGTGTCTGAGGTCACATTCAAGCACCTTTGAAACATTGCTTTGGTATAGAGGAGTTTTTTAAAGTTTGCAATGACCTGCTGGTCCATGGGCAGGAGGAGAGGAGTGGTATTAAGGGCAAGAATTTTACTGTGATGAACCCAAACTCCTCGAAAATTAGGTCATTCAAGTTTGGAGGATGAGCAGGTGCATTGTCCATTACTAGGAGGCACTTGAGATCCAATTTCTTTTCCAGGAGGTAATTCTTCACACTAGGGCCAAACACTTCATTGAACCACTCGACGAAAATTTCCCTCGTGACCCATGCCTTACTATTAGATTTCCAAAACACACACAATTTACTCTTCATAACATTGTTTTTCCTGAACACACTGGGATTTTCAGAATGGTACACTAGTAATGGCTTCACTTTGAAATCCCCAATAGCATTAGCACAGAACATGAGCGTCAGCCTGTCTTTCATAGGCTTGTGTCCTGGCAGTGCTTTTTCCTCCTGTGTAATGTAGGTCCTCTTTGGCATTTTCTTCCAAAAGAGGCCTGTTTCGTCACAATTGAACACTTGTTCGGGTTTCAGTCCTTCAGCCTCTATGTACTCCTTGAATTCATGCACATATTTTTCAGCCGCTTTGTGGTCCGAACTGGCAGCCTCACCATGACTTACCACACTGTGTATGCCACTACGGTTCTTAACTCTCTCAAACCAACCTTTGCTGGCCTTAAATTCACTCACATCACCACTATTTGCAGGCAGTTTCTTTACTAGATTGTCGTGCAACTGCCTAGCCTTTTCACAAATAATCGACGTCATAATACTATCTCCTGCTAATTGTTTCTTGTTTATACACACCAATAATAACTTTTCAACCTCTTTGAGTACTGGTGATCTCATTTTTGTCAGCATATTTACCCCCTTTGCAACAACAGCATCCTTGATTTCCTTTTTCTTGGCCACAATGGAACATATGGTTGTGTAGAGTTTGTTGTACATCCTGGCCAGTTTGGCCACACTTACGCCACTTTCACATTGTTCAATGATGTTTTTCTTAAATTCAATCGTATTTCTCACCTTCTTTACCAAAGGCTTGGCACTAGGAGCTTTCTTTGGAGCCATGGTAGCTTATTTAGTACTTGCAAGCACTAAAATGAGTAGAATACTATGAAATATTTTGTAGGAGCACGTGAGGGGACCTTCGCTCACTGGTAAACAATGCCAGACTGGCTGGGTAGGGAGGCCGCCCCGGCTCACACCGTGCATACGTGTCCCGGACGACCTACTATTCATGAGTCAATCTATGATTAGCGAGCCTATGTTTATACGAAAATATCGCTATGATTTCTGAAATCTACGACTCTCGAGCCCTATGATTATCGAGGGACCACTGTATTTATACAATTATTACAATAACGCAGTGGTCTACATAACAGTAAATCTTCTATG